TTTGTAATTGGCCTACAATCGATATGTGATATGTGCTTTTCTAAAATCGATATGTGAAAAAAAAATGAGAGAATTGTATAGGATAGTGTTTGAGAAGGTGGGCTAGAGAGAGAAAAAGGAGTTATACCTGGACTGGTGGACTGCTGGGGGTAATTCGCCAGGCCCTTTCTCCATTTGCTTCAACACCTGAGCTTCCCCATTATTGACCATGAAGCTTGATTTTATACCCTATTCCTTTTAGCTTCAATGGGACTCCAAACAAGGAGTTGAAACCCCATGTCTACACTAATATTGGTGATTGGTAGTTGATACAATCGAGAAACCGAATGAGTCGTAGTAGTAAAATAGTGAAGGTGGAGGAGGATGAGTTCCCTGGTAGTGACACAATGGAATAAAAGACATAATGACCAGCAGACTCACCTAAGACTAGAAGGAAGACCATTTTAGAGAGAGAAGCCTTCATGTTTTGGAGAGGGAACCTCCCTTCTGGTCTGCACCTTAGAATCTTAGATAAAGACTTTCAACACTTGTTTTTGGGGGATTTGTTTTCCTGTGCAAAACTAACTAAAACGTTGGTGTTTTAATTAACAACATTCTATGCTGTTTTTTCCTCACAGCCGAGGAGCTGCACCCAGGATACAGAGGTAGAGTTGGGGCCAACCTATAATTTCTAGTTTTTATTGTGTTGAGCCGGTTTGGAGAATTTAATTTAGGGAGGTTAGTTTTGAAAATTAAAAATTTTGAGCAACAAAAATATTTTAAGAGTTAATGTTGTATATATACACTAGTTGGTTCAAATTTGTAATGTACGTAGATTATTTTGAATACAAAATTTATATATTAAAATCACATACAACTTTCCCCAAAACTCACCAACATTAGTAACATTAATGATTAATCAAGCAGCAACAATGTTACAAAAGCTAGTCAATAGATTTAGAATTTGAAATATGGCATGCTTGATTTGTCTGAGAAACCAACTATCAGCTATAAGGTGATTAAAAAAGTTTGATTTAATTGTGCTTGAGAGCATTAGAAAAGTCATATGGCATTGAAATATATGTGACAAAATACCAAATCATTCTCTGAGGGCTTGTTTGCTTCTAGGATATGGGTGGTATAAAGGGGTGGTATTAGGGAAATAGTATGTGAGGTCCACTTTATATCTTGTTTATTTGACATTTTTTGTTTGGTATTATTTTTCGAGTCGTAGTATCGACCCAGTGTAAACAGTGACTTTAATGTCTTCTATATGGTACTAAGTAATACCACCTACCAGGTGGTATTGTCTTCCCGGTACAAATAAAAGGACGGTATAAGAGAGTAAAATGACACAAATGCCCTCCTATGTGAAGAGTTCACATATAAAAAATTTATTTTGAATTTTTCTTTGTATTATATTTAAGCGTACGATGTCACCAATTTAAAAAAAAAAAAATTTAAAAATTATTTTGGAGCGTACGGTGTCACCAATTTTTTTTTAAATTATTTTAAATTTTTTCCTTATATTATATTTAAGCATACGATGTCACCGATTTTTCTTTTTTAATTTTTTTTAAAAAAAATTATTTTAAAATTTTTCTTTGTATTATGTTTAAGTGTACTATATTACCTTTTTTTAAAAATTATTTTGAATTTTTTTCTTGTATTATGTTTAAGCGTAAGGTGTTACCGGTTTTTTTTTTTAAATTATTTTAAATTTTTCCTTGTATAGATGGTTAAGGGTAAAATAGTATATTTGTTATATAAGATATGATAGAATAGATGGTTGTTTGTAGGACCCACTATAATACCTATTAAACAAACAAGGGGAAGGATGAGATACAAGTTTAAGACCGAGTATAGTAAACCATTAGATGAGTGGAATGTAAATGATTTCTAATACCACCCAAATTTAATACTGAAAACAAACATGCCCTAAGACTAGTAAATTTGGAAACTCTGACTTGAAGATTTTGCTTTGTCTTCACTAGTGCTATTTTTTATTAGTGCTTCATTGTCACTACATTTGTTTTTCAAAAATTGATGGCCAGTTGCTAGAAATTTCATTGCTTTCATGAGAAAGGGTAAAATTGTTATTATTATAATGAATAGAATTGTTGTTTTGATGTTATTACATTCTCAACCAACTAATTGAGTTAATCAATTCTTTTATTTGAACCATTTTTTTCGTCTAATGTGTTGAGATCAATTGGATAGTTTGTTGCAGCGTTGAATTTGTTCATTGTGTAGGAACACAAGTATGGATAGGAGTTGTATGCAGCAAAAGAATAGATTGCACCATATTTTCAAATTGGGAGTGAAAGAATTCCTCCAGTTTGCATATACTCGTAAAGAACCACGTAGTAAGATCCCATGTCCTTGTAAGAAGTGTAACAACTTCAATGACCACACTCGAGAAGTTGTTGAAAGACATTTATTGATGCACGGAATAGTTAAGAGTTATGTTAGGTGGATATATCACGAGGAGGATTTTGAAAACAATTTTGCTAATGATGAGGGTGTTGAGGAGAACTACGAGTAAGGTAATGAAGTTGATGATATGCATGGTATGATAGATGATATTGCCACTGGTCATTTTGGGGACAATTGGGGGGTTAGAGAAGAATCTATTCAACAGGGTGTTCATGTGGATGGAGGAGAAGTAGATATATTTCTTAAATTGTTGAATGATACAAAGCAAGAACTTTATCCAAGATGTAAGAAGTTTTCTAAGCTGTCTTTTCTTGTGAAGCTGCTTCATTTAAAAATGATGTATCGCATGAGCAATAAGTGCTTTGACATGCTGCTTGAAATATTGAAAGATGCATTTCCAATTTGTGATACATTTCCTAAGTCTTATTATGAGTCAAAAAAGGTAATTTGTGACTTGGGTCTTAACTATGTGAAGATAGATGCTTGCGTGAATGACTATGCAATCTTTTGGAAGGATTATAAGGATTTGGATAAGTGTCCAAAATGTGGGAGCTCTAGATGGAAGTTTGAAGGATCTAAGAAGATACCTCAAAAGGTAGTGCGTTACTTCTCATTAAAGCCAAGACTACAGAGGTTGTTTATAAATAAGAACATTGCTTGTGATATGAGGTGGCATAAAGACAAACGTATCAATGAGGATAATGTATTAAGACATCCTGCTGATTCCGATGCATGGAAAGATTTTGATAAAAAAGCATGAGTTGTTTGCCCAGGATCCTCGCAATGTTAGGCTTGGACTAGCAAGTGATGGTTTCAATCCTTTTGGCAACATGAGTAATGCTTACAGCATATGGCCAGTATTTCTTGTACCATACAATTTGACTCCTTGGAAATGTATGAAGGATCCTTTTCTCATGATGTCCATGATTATTCTAGGACCAAATTCTCCAAGAAATGACATTGATGTATTTCTACAACCATTAATTGATGAGTTAACTGAATTATGGGAAGATGGCTTTGAAACATATGATGGTTACACTGAAGAGAAATTTTGCTTGCGTGCAGCACTGCTATAGACTATCAATGATTTTCCTGCTTATGCTAACTTATCCAGATGGAACACCAAAGGGTATATGGTATGTCCAGTTTGCATGAGTGAGACTTCCTCCAAATATTTGCCAAATGGAAAGAAGTGTTGTTACATGGGACATCGTCGTTTCTTACCAACTAATCATAGATGGCGAAAGGAGACTAAATCATTTGATGGTGAGAAAGACTTTAGGGAACCAATTGAACCATTATTTGGGGATGACATATTGAAATATTTGGATGTTATTGATCAGGTTGTTTTCGGTAAGGCCCCTGAACTAATCTGAGAGAAGAAGAGGAAACGTCGAAAAAGTGATTTGAATTGGACAAAGAAGAGCATTTTCTTCGAATTGCCATATTGGAAAACCCTGAAACTACGACATAACTTGGATATCATGCACATAGAGAAAAATGTATGTGATAATGTGCTTGACACATTAAGGAATATTGATGGAAAGACTAAGGACAATTGGAAGGCTCGCAAGGATTTGATGGCAATGGGCCTAAGACCAGAATTACACCTTCGTTTTGAAGGAGATAAAGTTCTTATGCCGTCTGCATGTTACCAGTTTTCCCATGATGAGAAGAGAAAAATATGTGAATTCTTGACTTCAATTAAGTTTCTGGATGATTTTGCCGCAAGCATTTCTCGATGTGTGAAAATAAAAGAGTGCTGTATTTCAGGATTGAAGAGTCACGACTGTCACATTTTCCTTCAACGGATACTTTCAGTGGCAATATGTGGATCCTTGGGTAAGGAAGTGTGTCAGTCATTAGTTGAGCTCAGTAGTTTTTTCAAACAGTTATGTTCTAGGACATTGTATTTGGATGTGTTGGAGAAACTTGAAAGGCAGATTGCTTTGACACTACGCAAACTTGAACGTTTATTTTCCCCAGCGTTCTTTGACATAATGGTACACTTAATGGTTCACCTTACTAAAGAAGCCAAGCTTGCTGGACCAGTCCAATACTAATGGATGTTTCCATTTGAAAGGTATTTAATAATTTATTTATCAGGTGATTACTTAAGCATCAATCATGTTTTTCTTTTTCAATTGTAGCTTAATTCTTTTGTTATATATATTGATAGGCAAATGGGGAAACTAAAGGGATATGTACTTAATAAGGCTCGGCCAGAAGGGTCGATTGCTGAGCGTTACATTGATAATGAATGCTTGAATTTTTGCTCGATGTACTTGGGTAATGTTGAGACGAGATTCAATCGAGCTGAACGGAACTATGATGGAGGTGCAAAGTCGAGTGAGTTGTCTGTATTTGCAAATAATGGTCATGCATTTGGTGGGACCATATATGCCGAGTTGAATAATACTGAGTGGGAAAAAGCTCAGAATTACGTGTTGAATAATTGTGAAGAGGTTCAAGATTTTATAGTGTAAGTTTAATTTTCTAATTACTTGTACTTAAAATGTTATTGTTTGCTCATTAGATTTGTGCCTTGGTATTAGATAATTATGGGTTATAATGATATATACTTAATGTATAGCGAGCATAAGAAAATTCTAAAAGCTGAGAATACAAGGGATGTTAATCAAAGGCATGACTCACAGTTTCCTAAATGGTTCAAACAACGTGTAAGTGCACTTTGAAATATACCTATTTTTGTTGCTATTATCAAAACAATGTGTATTTGATTATTTGGCGAGGGTTCTATTGACAATTTTCACTTTTATGTATAGGTTAAAAAATTGTACCATGAAGGGCGTGCTAGCAAAGAGCTCTTGTCCCTTGCCAAGGGTCCAGATAATCAAGTGAAATGCTACACTGGTTGTAATGCAAATGGGTTTAGGTTCCACACTCAAGATCTTGAGAGGAAAAGAAAAACACAAAATAGTGGTGTGGTCGTGGAGGGAGAACATGATGGGAGGGTGATAAACTTCTATGACGCGATCATTGAAGTTATTGAGTTATAATATCTACTTGGGCAGAATCGAGTTATGTTATTCAAGTGTGATTGGTGGGATGTAAAGGACAGTACATGTATCCAAATAGACAGGATTGGAATATTACTAGTGTAAATGTATCACGAACTTGGTATAAGAACCAACCATTTGTGCTTACCTCTCAAGCAAAACAAGTTTTTTATATTGAAGATTTGAAGTTAGGGAAAAATTGGCGCATTGTAGAGAGAACTCAACCTCGCGGGTCTTTTGATGTTCCTGAACAGTTTGAAGAACAATTGATTTCTGGTGAGGAGCCTTACCAAGAGCATGTGCCTGATGAGGTTTTTGAATCAATGGAAATTGATGAAATGCCATCATTAGAAAGAGATGATATGATCCCATTAGGATGTACTGATGTAGATAATATATTTCATGAACAACCAATGGAAAATGTAGATGAAGAAGATAACAACTTCATTAATGACAGTGATATCGAGGAAGATTATTGTAGTGATGATATTCACAAAGATGATACATTTAGCAATGACGAATGTGAATCTGACTAAAGGTAAGGTTTCAGTGTAATTCACCTTATACTAGGGAAATTTTATAATGTTGTAGTACTTGTAGTTCTTATATACACACATAGATGTGCATAACCATTTGTATTTACGCAATTGATATTCATTTGTTGTATTATTTTGTTACTTCATTGCACACAGATGGCCAGATTGGGGAAACAAGGAGCTGCTAGGCGTGGTGGAGTACAACTATCAATACTGCTTCCGATTTCATTACCATTTGATAAACAGACACAGACTGGTGCAAATGGTGGTACATTGCCACTTTCACAAGAGTCTCATGGTTCCACGAGTGTAAATAATGTTCCTTTGCCAGAGGGACATGTCAAACATAATGTTGGTATGTTTGTTTAATGGAATTATGTTAAATATTGTTTAAAATATTGACTTATAGAAGCTGCATTTTTAATTTTTTATTGATTATTGAATTTTCTTTATGTTTTAATTTTATCAAAAAATTAGGTTTTTAACAAAATCATCTACCAACATTGTTCATACTTTATCTTCAGAGTCATCCTCAACGAGGAGAAAACGGGGACCAACCCGAAATATTGCGCTTGCCAAAAAAAAGCAACCCGGCGAGAAGCTTAATGTCAAGATGCCTGAAGAGCTTGGGTGAATAGTAGGATTGGAATGCCAACCACTTATAACAGAGTTAGGATGCATTGTTCGGAAGCATGCACCTCTTCAAGTGACAAAATGGGCAAAGATTGACAAAGCCGATCAGGAGAGTTTACTCCAAATGGCCAAGGTAAGTGTTTTTCCAAGTACTTAAAAATTTCAACTAGACTATGAAACAAAAGTTAATAAAAGGGGGTTTATGTTTTTTTTTGCATCCAATAAACAAACTTATTTTTTATTTTGTAATTCAATTGTTGTTACTTTTGTTTCTCACAGTGCATTCATTGTTAACAATGTAAACAATTCGCTATTTTTTGTAGGAATCATTCAATCTCCATGATGGATAGGTTAAAGATATAACATTTGCCCAAATGAACACGCAATATAGGAATCATCGCCATAAACTACACAAGAACTATTTCTTGCCACACCCAACAACAGAAGTAGCAATGCAACATCTACCACCAGGCGTGCCACAAGAAGATTGGAATTATCTTTGTTCTTACTTTTCCTCTGACGAATTTAAGGTTCTTAAACTTACTATAGATACTAAACAAAATCAATTTTCCCTTTATTCGTTTAAAAAATTTCTAATGGACGAAAGTTTGACTATTTTAATGTAGAAAAGGAGTGCTCAAAATGCAAGGAATTGGGCAATGCAAAACACACCCCATGTAACTGGGACAAAGTCTTTTGCCCGGATGGGTGTTGAAATGGTAGCAACATAAATCTTAGTTATAAAGTGTATCATATGCGTAGTGATATGCTTCAAAAACTAATTCACATATTTGAATTGATGTAAACTGCTCAAACTGGTGAAGTGCTTGGGCCAATTGGGTTATATAGGATAACTCACTATAGTAATAAGAAACACTCTTGGGTGAATGACCGTACACATCATAACTATGTAAGTTATCAATTCGGTTAAAATTTAATTCATCATCATATTAATTGAACTAATATAATTCAAAATTTATATGCCTTGCCACTTTAGGAGCAAATGGTGGAGCTTTAATCGCACCCTGTAAGAGAGAATGAAGAACCAGTTTGTGAGGAGGAAATTTGCTCAGAGGTTCTTGGACACAAGTCAGGGTACATACGTGGCCGTGGGCATGGTCCGAAGCCTAACGATCCTTATCTAAGCACCATGATAAATCAAAGTTGGAGGTACCTAACAAAAGGGCCAATGAGTTGGAAGAAAAACTCAATGCTCAACAAAAGGACATGGAAGTGATTAAGGCTACCCAAAAGGCAACAAATGAGATTTTACAAGCACTGATGGAGCAAATGCAAGGGACAACCCAAAATGTAACAAATGAGATTTTGCAAGCATTGATGAAGCAGATGTAGGATGGGAGGCACATGTCTGCCCATGCCATTGCCCCTGCGCTTGACCCTCTTTCATGGTAGGTGGTTGATTAATGAAAGTTTAGTTTTGATTTTTTTTTCTTTTTTTGAAGGTGTCATAAACTTTATTTTATTGCATGATAGATGGAAGCAGTATGAGGCTCAACCAGGGCGATTGAAATTTAGGTAAGTGTTCTCATTTTTACTTTTGTAGGATAAATTTGAGGGTGTAAAATAATTCCATTTGAAGTATTAGAACTTATGAACAGGTTCTTAATTTTTTATTCTACTTGCAATTATGAAATGGCTTGGGGCTTTATGGAAGAAATTGTGTAGTATACTCGCTGATATTATGGTGTTTTTATATATTAATTAGAGATTGATATTGTGATTGACTATACACTCGATGACAACATAGATCCATTAAATTAGTTTGCCATGGTTGTTAATATTCGATAATAAGGCAATAATATGACAGTTGAAATTTATGACATAAAGTTTGAGTTAACTATTATTGATTAGATATTCAGCTCATTACCATATTTGCAAGATTAGCTTTTATTTATTTGATGCAATCATTTGAAGCAAAACATTTATGTTTGCTAAGCATGATGGTCTTTTTTCATAGGATTCATACTTTTTGGTGATTTATTCTTTTTTCTTTTAATCATATAAGTATTGTTGTGCTTGTGGACAATGGGAAGTAGTTGATGTAATGAGTCTCATGACATATAGTAGAAATTGTGTGTTCTTTAATGATGATCATCTATAGTCTTTGGTGTTAAACCTCCCTTAACAATGCTAAAAGTGCTACAATACATTTTATAAGAGTGCAAAGTGCAATACATTGTTATCAGAAATTAGAAGGACCCTTTGGTTGATTACCACTCAGTCTAAACCTTTGATGATAAGTGTTGGAGTTTTGTTTCTTGTGTTGCATAGAGTGACAAGAAGTTTGAAAATAAGATTTAGACATTACCAAGCCAATATTTTTATGATGACATTTTTGCCCAAGCTTTTACTATTTTATGTGATTTAAAATTAAAGAGTTGTGACTTATATTATGTTGTTTAATTTTTGTCAGGGTGGTTATCTTTGCGACATCTTTATGAGAATAGAAGATCGTGTTCAAAGGACCAGGATTAATTCGAAAGCCCTGCGTACATTTTTTGTTCGTCATGAAGTTTGCTTTAGATCTTCTCATGGTTATGTAAGGAATAAAGACCAACAGTTTATTGTTAATTTTTTATTTTGTTGCTTCAGAAAAACTTTTTTTTATTGCTATTTTTTTTTTAAGTATTTGTTGGATTGTTTACAAGTTTTATGATAATTCCATAAGTTTTTTATTTTATAATTAAACTATGATTGAATTTTGATTTGTTTCGAATGACATTGAAATATTAGGATATTTTAATAACAGGTCAATTTTATACATGATTTATGATAGCTGTTATGAATTATTATGTGAGTGACAACCACTAAAGTCGTCACTCTAGAGTTTTTTAATGACTGCTACAAAATTTATCACAAAAGTACTTTGAAATTTTATAGTGACAATAAAAAAATATTGTCACTGAACAAGTCTTTAGTGACGATTATAAAGCTAGCCATTAAAAGTAAACAAAAATTGTTAGTGACAATCAAAACATTGTCACTACCACCGATAATTTAGTGACAATAAAATTTTATCATAATTAGGGACGAAAGTTTGAAATTGTCACCAAACATATTAGTAACAACAAAATATTCCGTCACTAATGATTGATGGATACTAATTAGTGTTAATATATTTTGACATTATTTGTTTTTGGGCTGAAAATAGTTTTTAAGTGGCAGAAATATACTTTTTTGTGATGAAAGTTTAAAATATTAATGGCGACAAATTTTTCCGCTATTAAGAGCGATTTAGTGATGATACAGAATCGTCACTAAAGGTCTAGATTATTTGTGACAACTTATGTAACTTGTCACTATTAACTTTTAGAGATACATCTATAGTGACAACCTAGTGGCAATTTTTTTTTCACCGCTAACTACTTTTGTGACAAATTTAAGAGTTTTAGTTACGACATTTCTTGCCACTAAAGTTGCTATTTTTTATAGTAGAGCGAGATTGACATGAAGAAGAATTTGTTGATGGGTAATTCTAATATGAGCAAATCATGAAGATAGGCAAGCCCTTTGGCTGTCCCCCTGTAGTGTAAGATTAAATGCTAACCACTCTCAATTTTAAATTAACTCATTCCAGATCTAAACATATATAGAGTGAATAAGAAATAAAAAGATTACGAATATAAAAAATTCACCAATTTTGGCCAGATACACACCAAACCACTTGAAGTCATTGTTTAATGTTATTAACATGATTTGCTTCAAAGAATCCAAAGGCCGCAACAGTGGATTAAAAAAAAAAGGAGCCAAAAACCATCACACCATTAACAAGCAGTACTAAAACACAAGGGAACTAAGTCTTTGATACTCACAAACACCAAGTTTATATCCATAAACCATTTTTAGCATCTGTCTTCTTAAAAGAACGGACATGGCTCGAACCTTGATTGATTCCATTGTTCTTGCCAGGGAAGATGAATCTTGTTGTACTCATGTGGAATTTAACATCATCATTTTTATTTTTGTCTTCGTTTTGCCATTGTTATTTCGAAAGAACGGATTGGTTGGGATGGTGAAAGAGGGAGCTAGGATAATGGCAAGTGCAGGGAGAATGAGAACGTGTTTGGCATTCTACAATTATTAAGGAGAAGGTGAAAGATTATGAACAATTATGCTTCTTAATTCATTGAGTGTGACTCTAGAGAGTACATTAAATACCACTACATTTGAGTTACTTGATTTTGGACTCAATTGCATTCAAATGTCCATTGCTTAGCTCAAGTAAATAGATACAATGTGAACACTAACCATCTGCATACCAACAAAAAACAATTGAAAAGGTTGGTGTCTTTTTCTATTTTTTTAAGGGTAATATAGTCAATCAAATATTTTACACTTTTGTTAACATTTAGATTAGAAGTGGCATAGATTGTTGGTAATTAATTAGGGTAATTAATCTAACACCAATATGAATTTATACAAATGTTTATGGGTTTAGTAGCCTATTGGGAGTAGTATAGATATAATACAAATAGTAGTGCTCTCAATGAATTGACGATACACTAAGTTATCACACTTGAAGAAGAAGTAACCCTACAATCGAATAAAAAACTTCTCATTGAATTCATCTATGACTGCTACAACAAATTAATTAATTTTCTCCTCCAATCCCAACCATTATGCTAACATAACCTCTTTTGAAGCCAATAATCTTTTTCACTTTGAGATCACAAAATTTTGATCTCAAGACAAGCATGTAAATCAAACATTGGAATGACTTATGCTCTTATCAGGCAAAACAACATTTAACCACAATGTATTGAAATTGAAGTTAAACTAAAAACCATGCAAGCTCAAATGGAGGAAAAATGAATTCACATACAAAAGATAAATCAAGCACATGACAAAGTCCTAATCCTCCATATAATAAAGTTTCCATTACCTTTTTCTGCAAGTGTGTGCCTTTTCTATTGGAAGTGTTCAAATTTCTCTTTATAGGCTAGCATTGATATCAAATCAAAAAAAAAGAAAAATAGAATG